CCCTGGGTCCCCACTCTGCACTCCCCCTCATTCACAATGTTATTTTATTTATTTTTATTTTGGTCTTTGATGGCTGATACCTGACTGAGTGCAATGAGGCAACAACAGAAAGTAAAACAATGTCTACAACAACAATAACACGCACACAAGCATACATATATAACCGTATGAATAGTTCAGGGTCTGTGTGTTTTCCTTCACGTGTGCTTTCCAGTCAAGTCTGATTGGGTGCCATGCCCCCGGCACCGCCTCTATCCCTGAGGACCTCACCGCTCTGCTCCCTCTGCTGCTCTGATGCATGCCCCCAGGGGCTGGCGTTCGATGTAGTGAGCTCATGGCAGGAGCAGTTCCCGCTGCTTGTCTCCAGTGCTGTCCCCAGTGGTGAGATGGGTCATTGAGGAACGCTGTGTCCTGTGGTGGGGCCGGCCCCGTGGTCATCTCCGTGCATCGCTGTTCCGAACAGGCACATTGTCCCCAGGGCTCATCGAGCCAGGATGTGCTCCACTCTTTCCTTTTCTTCCCCTTCCCCCTTCATTGGCTCACATGGGCTCCGACCAGACCAGTCCCCCTTCCCCTCTTCCCCGAGCTGCAGCTTCAATGCTGTCCTCTGAAGTGAATTCCCCCTGGGGGAGGGTGGTGCCATGCACCCAGTTTGTAATGGGGCCGACCCCTCAGGCCTCTCCATCTGTTCCCTACTTCATGTCAGCGTGTTGCTTTCCTGTCTTGGAGCTCTGGGTTGAAGTCTGGTCCCTCTTTCCCTGTGGAGACACAATCGATACCCTCCCCCTGTGTGGATTAGTGCCCTGTTCCCCTGGCTACCCATACCTTTTTCCCTCCTCCCTTTTAGTGGGCTACCATATGTATCCCATATGTATCCCTGGATTTAGTCTGGCCCCTGCCATATTACCTGGACCTCACTCCAGGGACGTATGTATACAGCATCTTCTTCCCTATGCCCTTTTTGAAAAAAAAATATATATATATTTTTTGAGCTTACCTTAGTGGACTCATGTAGTACTTGTCCTTTTGTGTTTGGCTTCCTTCACTTAGCATAATTTCCTCCAATTCTTCCCATGCGGCGATGTGCTTCATGCGTTCATCACTTTTTTTAGGGATGCGTAATACTCCATTGTATGTATGTACCAGAGTTTTTTAATCCATTCGCCTGTTGATGGAAATTTGGGCAGTTTCCAGCTCCTTGCAATTGTGAACTGTGCCGCAATGAACATTGGAGCATAGATGTCTGGCCATGGTTTTTTGTCTCTTCCGGGTATATGCCCAGTAGGGGGATTGCTGGATCATAGGGTAGCTCAATTTCCAACTGTTTTAGATATCGCCAAATCGATTTCCATTGTGGCTGTACGTACCTACAGGTCCACCAGCAGTGGACCAGAGTACCTATCTCTCTGATTCCCTCCAACACTTATTACTTTCTGATTTCTTGAATTGGGCTATCTTTGAGGATGTTAGGTGGTATCTCATAGTTGTTTTAATTTGCATTTCTCTTATGGCTAGAGATCTGGAACATTTTCTCGTATATTTGTTGGCCATTTGGATTTCTGCCCTTGAGAAACTCCTTCTCCGCCCCTTTGCCCACCTCCTGAGTGGACAATTGGTTTTTCTCTTGTCGTAGTTTAGCAGTGTGTTATAGATTTTAGTAATAAGGCCTTTGTTGGATGTGTCATTGTCAAAGATGTTTTCCCATTCTGTAGTCTCTCTTATTACTCTCTTGGTGAATTATTTCGATGTCCATAAGTGTTTTATTTTTAGTATGTCCCACTGGTCAATTTGTGCCTCCTCAGTGTTGGTGTCCTTCCCGATTTCCAATAGCCTATGTAATCCCTGTGCCAAGGTTCTCAGGTTTGACCCAATTCCCTCATTGATGGCCTTGATGGTTCTGGGTTTGACCTCAAGGTCTGTGATCCACCTTGGTTTATTCTTGTGAATGGAGTGAGGTAAGGGTCTTGCTTCATTTTTCTGCTGCTACGTATCCATTTTTTTCAGCACCATGAATTGAAGAGGGCATCCACTTCCCATTTGATATTTTTGGGCCCCTTATCAAAGATCAGTTGTCTGTATGCCGATGATTTTATTTCTGGGTTTTCTATCTATCGTTATACCAGTACCATGCTTTTTTGACCACTGTGGCTGCGTAATAGGTGTTAAAGTCGGGTAAAGCAAGCCCTCTGACTTTGTGCTTCCTCTTAAGGAGTTCTCTACAGTTGGTAATCTGTTTTTCCAACTCTTTGAAGAATGTTGCTGGAATTTGGATCGGGATAGCATTGAACTTTTATAGTGCCTTGGGTAGAATTGACATCTTTACAATATTGACTCTGCCAATCCATGAGCATGGGATCTCCTTCCATTTGTTGAGGTCATCCTTGGTTTCTTTTAATAGCATTTTGTAGTTTTCCTTATACAGATCTTTTGTTTTTTGAGTCAGGTATATCCCTAGATATTTCCATTTGTGTGTGGCTATTGTGAAGGGTACCCCCTTTTTGATCCCCTCTTCTGTGCCCTTGTCTGATGTGTACAGTAGTGCGATAGACTTCTGGTTGTTGATCTTGTAACCTGCTACTCTGCCATATTCCTCTATTGCTTCCAGTACTCCTCTTGTGGAACTTTTAGGATTTTCCATATATAAAATCATATCGTCTGCGAATAACGATAGTTTCACTTCTCCCTTTCCCAGGCGAATCCCTTTGATGTCTTTCCTTTGCCTTATATTATTAGCTAGGACTTCCAGCACAATGTTAAATAGGAGTGGGGACAAGGGACATCCTTGTCTAGTCCCCTTTTTCAGAAGAATTGATCTCGTCTTTTCTC